CCTTCTGCTCTCCTAGAGCCTCCTTTCTCTCTTGCCCAGTACACATTTACTAGATTGACTCTGGCACCTATGGTGTTTTTCTTCTTTATGATGAAGTGATGCTAATCTTAGAAACGGACCACCCCAGAGTGGCTTGTTGTACTAATCTGGGCCTGGCCCCGCAGGGGTCCCTGCACTCGCAGGAGGGTGTCTTTTGTATGGAATGCTTTTGCTAGGCCATGGCAGTGTTTTTGCTCTTATGGGGTGTTAGGAAAACTGGGGCAGCTGACCCCGCCCTTGTGGGCCCAGCTATTCTGTAAGTAGACTTAAACCAGCTCTTTCCTGGCCGATCCAAGCCCCTGTGCCTGCCCTGAAAGCGCTGACTGGGGGTGGTGAGTTCTGGAAGTCAGGCAGTGAGAACAGAGCCATGCTGCATAGCCCAGAGAGAAGCAGCTGCGGGCATGAGCTAGGAGTCAGGACACCTGGGATCTTTCCCTCCTCCTGTTCCTTGTGTTCTCAGCCCTGTAATCATCTCCCCTCTTCTGAGTCCTAAAAGGGGTCAGGAGTGTGTGTGAGAGGAGCGCTGCCGGTATCTGTGCCCTCTGAGTGCTCCCTGGCAGAAGTTGTTTTTCTCTAACTTGGGCTGAGCGCTAGCATTTTAAGCAGGTTTGTTGGCACGAGACTGACGAGCAGCAGCAGGGATGGAGCATCATGTCTGTCTCACTTGGATTCTGCCCCGAGGACTCACAATCTGTTTTCTTTTTCCCGCAGCACCAAGTACCCCATCCCTGTTCAGCGGGTGAGCGTTGATAGAATGAGCTAGGCTTTCCGCCCACCCTTTGCATGCCCTTGGCGAAGACCTTTCTGCTGAAAAGGCCAGTGAGCCTGGGGCGTCTCAGCCTTGGGGTGGCAAGTGGCTTCCCAAGCCGAATGCTTATTTAGGGAGGCCACAAGGCCGAGTCCCTCCTAATTAGACTATAACTAGATAACCTAGTTGGAAATTTGATTAGCTTCGTCCAGATTTTCCACATTGAGGAAGGGATTCATCTCAGCCATTTGAAGGCCTAGTTTTGTGTGTCATTACCACAGTGTCCTTGCTTTGTGAACTCCTCAGCTTCTGCCAGGGAAGGATCTAGAAGTGGCAGGAGATGGTGCTTCTGCTGGCATGGCTTTTTTCTCCAGAAAGTTTCTGCCAGTTTACATTTTACACCAAAAAGCAAACCAACAAAACCCCAAACAACCTAAATATATATACACACACACTCACTCACTCTCTCTCTCTCCTTTTGAAACTACTTCTTGTTCCTCCTCATGATGCCCCTGCATTACTTAATAGTTGATGAATGTGGGCTCTCAAAGAAGGATACACGTTGGGCCCACAGCGTACTTAAGGCAAGGCCAGTTCTGGGCGGGGACCTCTGGCCTGTCTGTCACCAGCGCTCTCAGCATCTGGGGAATGAGCGCCTCCCAGTCCTGAAGGGGAACGGAACGTCCACAGCCTGCACCTCTGCAGGATTCTCAAAAATGTGTGACTCCTGTCAGCATCACCTTCACTTGGGAAATGGAAAATCTCGAGCCTTGCTCTGAGCCCTCCTGGTGACGCTGATGCATGCTCAAGTTGGAGGACCAGTGAATTACAGTTATGTAACTAGTTTTAAAGATGAAATTAAAATTATTAAGAATGTTTATCATCTATCTATATCATGATCCAGTCTTTCCCTTCCTTGGTATTTAACCAGGGGTATATCTATGCAAAGCTGGCTTTTATGCCAGCTTTACTTGTAATAGCCCAACATTAGACACAACTCAATATATGAATTATTATTGTTAGGTGCCATCTAGTCGATTATGACTCATAGTGACTCTAAGGACAGTGGATCTGGCCCCAGCTCTATCCTACACCGTCTGCCTCTGATATGCTTGAATCCATTGTTATAGTGACTGTGTCAATCCCATCTTGTTGGGGGGTCTTCCTCTTTCTCTGACCCTCCACCTTCCCAAGCATGATGTCCTTTTCCAAGGACTGGCATAGATAAGGAATCTATGAATAGATAAGCAAATCATGTTATATTTCTATTTTAAAAAACTGTTATACCCAATCACATAGATGGGTCTGAAAATAATTATGCTGAGTCAAAGAAATCCTTGGGAGAGAAATGACATGATTCCATTTGTAGATAAAAGTTTTAAAAATGCAGGCTAATCTATGGTGACAGGTCAGTGGTTATTTGGGAATGTGATAGTGGGGTAAATGATGGGATTTTAAAGGGGCATGTAACTTTTGGGGCTGGCTTGTTACTTTGAAAGCATGGTTTCTACAGTATATAATTATGTCCAAGCTCATCAGGTTATACAGTTGGTCAGTTTATCAATTATCCCTTAATGGAGCCATGTAAAGTAAAAATTCAGGTGTGATGATAACCTACGAAGGGCCAGGGGGCCAGATAGAAGAGGAACACAGGCTTTTTAAATGTTGTTCATGCATGATCATAATTACATAAATGAAGTGGAGGGCCATACATGGACAACAAAATGAAAGACAATTTCCTTCTGAGCACCAGTGCCGCCTGTAGTTGGCATTCATGGCCATGGCCAGGCCTCATCTGCACCATTGCTCTTGGTGAAGCCGCCCTCTTCCCCCGTCTGGATGCCATCCTGCTCACAGCCCAGCACCTGACTGCTTTCCTGGGACCCATGGCCTTCCACCAGCTGTGTAGTCAAGTGGCTGCTTGCCTTACTGTCACTTCATCTCTCTTGGCTGTTAAACCACTGTGTGTCTAGCACAGTCCCTCGTGCTGCTGGGTTGACAAAGGATATATGGGTTGACAAAGGATATATGGAAGAGGCTGGCATCTCACAGGGGGAGCTGCGTCCTTCCAGCATTCTGCCACATCTCACTGATGTCCAGTCCCTGAACCTTTCAAAAACTTCTGACTGCCAAAAACTGTACTTTTAACAGTTGTCACACACCATGGTTATATGTCATTAACAGGAAGCCTAGAATTAGCTTGACATTCTTATTAGGGCAGTCATTAAACACACATCTTGAAATATTTAACATGCCAAGATTTACTCTAGAGAAACTCGATTTCTTAGTTTAAAAAAAAAATATAAAAACCCAGGCGGCTTTCTTTTCAACTTCCCAATTGATCATATTCTTGCATCCTTGTATTTCTGCAGATCTGATTTGTATCCATTATAACCAACACTGCTCACTTTCCAACTTTCTGGATCTGGACCAAGGGCTCCAGAGTAGACCGTAATTTCCTCATCAAGTGAGTATCCCCTGGACCATCTGCCTATTGATGCTCAGGATGTTTTCATCTGAGTGAAGTCACCTCAGGCTTTCCAGCATGCCTTGAGGTTGGATACCGCACACCCCAGTGGGCGCAGACGATGCAGTATTGTGATTTTTCTAGTGAGAGGAGCTGATGTGCATAAAATCTCAGGAAGCCACTCTTTTCCTTTTCTGAACTGGGCAGCACATAGGATTGTTATGAGTTGGAACCAACTCTAAAGCACCAAACATTATAATATGTAGACATACTGTGTAATGGTACATGCCTCCTATAAATACAGTCTATTAGAATATAGGAATCCTGAGGGCTTACTGGGTAGCATACCAGACAGCTAGCCAAAAGGTCGGCAGTTTGAGCTCCCCAGCTGTTCAGTAGTAAAGGTTTACAATTTTTAGAAACCCGATGGATGGTCACAAGGCCTCAGAACCAACTCCATGACAATGACTGTCTGGTGCGTATTAAAATATATTCAGATATTAATTCCAGCATACAACATCTAAAACCAGTGGAATTAATCTTGGCTCTTAGAATTGGTAGAGGAAGGTGGAGTTATGTAATCACAACCAGGATCTACTCAGAAAGCTCCAACTGTATGGTGGGTCATGCACTGGGTTGTTAACCAAGTTTGGCGATTCAGACCCACCAGTTCTCCAAGGGAGACAGATGAGGCCAGCTGTTCCCAGGGGTTTCAGCTTCAGAACCCCTATGTGTCAGTTTTACTCCGTCTTGCGGGGTTGCTTTGAGTTGGAAATGACACTAGTGGATGAGTGATGGTCTAGGGTCAGGTCAGCTGCAAATGCACATTAAATTAAAGTCGTCTTGAGATCACAGCTTTCAGATTGCCTGGGATTATTTCCATGGAAATGCCACAGCAGAAGTTACCTAAAGCTAATTGGCTTTCTAAAGTGTTAAGATGTCACAGATATGATAGGAAGTAGCTATTTTTAAATAATAAAGGGCTACAGTGATCATACATCATAGCTTCTCTGGAGCGGATCCGACTCAGTATCTTTTTAGTCCATAAAGGCATGCCATTAAATATATTACATAATGCATTATCATTTTTGTAAGACCTTTATGTCTAGAATTAGATTTAGGAAAAAATAGCCACCACAGCTATGGAAGTGGGCAAGGCAGGCATGATGCCTAGAAGGAGGGTGAGAATTTCAGATTTCTCCTTAATCACTAGGGAGCACCTACCAGAGCAGAATTCTGTAGGACTGTTGCTCAGGAACCGAATGCTTGAGCATGCCTGTTTTATCCTTTTCCTAAAATAGGATGGCTATTTCTGCGTTGTTGTTGTTATGTACCATCAAGTCAGAACTGACTCAGAGCTGACCCTCCAGCAGGATTTTAGAGGCAGGTTAATTGCATGAGAAGAGATTGCCCATCTTCCTCTAATCGACTCCTCCGAACCCCCCCAAAATTAATCAACAGAAAGTTAAGTTTTACATTGATTTTTACATGTTGGCATCTTAGACCAATATGAATCAGTAGGAAATGATTTGTCTACATCCTTGAAAGAATGCACACTGTTGTGGAAAAGAACTACTTCTAGTCCTTTTACCTTCCCATTTCACAGACATTGCGGGAAGCTGTGATGAATCAATAGCATTTTAAAAGTACTGACCGATTATCTGTATTTTGCAGGAAGGCAATTGAAGGAAAAAACCCCCCACTCTGGTCTTACTTCCAACGATGCAAGTGTGATTGCTGGCATCTTCATGAGCTCCAGAGGTCACAGCACACTACCACGGACTCTCATGGCCCCTCGGATGATTTCCGAGGGAGACATAGGAGGCATTGCACAAATCACCTCCTCGCTCTTCCTAGGCAGAGGCAGTGTGGCCTCTAACCGGCACCTCCTCCAGGCTCGAGGGATCACCTGCATCGTTAATGCGACCATTGAGATCCCCAATTTCAACTGGCCCCAATTTGAATATGTCAAAGTGCCTCTGGCGGACATGCCTCATGCCCCCATTGGACTGTACTTTGACACTGTGGCCGACAAGATCCACAGTGTGAGCAGGAAGCACCGGGCCACCCTGGTGCACTGTGCTGCAGGGGTGAGCCGCTCGGCCACTCTCTGTATCGCTTACCTGATGAAGTACCACAATGTGTGCCTGCTGGAGGCGTACAGCTGGGTGAAAGCCCGGAGGCCTGTCATCAGGCCCAATGTGGGCTTCTGGAGGCAGCTGATAGACTATGAGCGCCAGCTCTTTGGGAAGTCGACGGTTAAAATGGTACAGACACCTTATGGCGTCGTTCCAGACGTTTATGAGAAAGAGTCCCGACACCTGATGCCTTACTGGGGAATTTAACGCCACCAAAGCCTGCATCAGCAGCCCCTGAGCAGTACCAGCATCTGCTATACACCGTCTGCTCCCCTCTTCACCTTTCTTTTCAGATGGTTGACTTTTGGTTCTCCCTGAAGTGTTTTTTTTTTACACTGGGTGTTCAAATTTATTTTATGAGACAGAAGGGAGGGGAGGGACACAGGGGAATGCACACACTGCTAGTAACATTTTTAAAACTAACATTTTGGATAGTGTTTATGAAAATCTTTAACTGGCTTTTAATCATTTTTAACAATTTGAACTGTTTACAGACTGCTGGGTTCTGCTCTCTTCTGAATCCCGGGCCTTTGGGCACCATGGCTGGTGCTGGAGGAGCTCAGAGCAAACATCACTTTGGGCCCCGATGAACCCTTTAGAGACAAGCTTTGCCCAAGGCTGCTGACCAAACAGACGCTTAGGGAAGATTGATACCAGCTTCAGTCTCTACTGACTTAGCCCTCCTCCTTTTTCCTTTTCCCTCTATTATTTAGTGACTCTGTAAGTTGAAGTAAGGAAACCTTTATTATTTAGCTGTTAAGTAATCATAATGAAATCTGCTGCAAAGACCCTCTCAGAATCAGTGTCCCAGGATTAGCATTATTTTTAATAAATATATCTGCTTAACATATTAGCATATATTTTTGTTATTAATCGGAATTAATTTCAGGGTGTGTGTGTGTGTGTATGTATTGATGATGGAAGAAAGATACTCTCCTGTAACTGTAAAATAGGGCTGACAAATTAGAGAAGACACTTCAACTGAACCATGTCAACAGTGACGGAACTCTATTCCATTCACCCTTCCTGGGAACACTGGCATTTTACCGGGTCACCACTTACTAGGACAGCCCCTGGGGAATCTGTCCACACAACAAAACCACTGTCATGGCACTGATTTACTTTCCCTATTTGCCAGGCGGGCTGTACCCTGTTCAGACAACAGTTTTCTACTTTTAGGCCTTTTATGGTAAGCCATAATTGTAATGCAGCATATAAACTGTGTCCCTTATTAGACTGAGCAGTGACAATGTTTCTACCTCCACATTCACCCTTTCCTGGTTTTACACGGTTTGCTCACTTTTGCTAGTTTACTGTCTGAATGGGAAAATGAAAATAAAGTTTGTATGGGAAAGCCACAAATGCAAACCAATTCAGGAAGGCATGTCTTAAGTCTGGTGGCAAAATGGTTTGTGATTGGTCTACTAACCTCAAGGTTAGTAGTTTGAACCTAACTAACAACGGATGTGCTTGATAGTAGTTTCTCTGTAGCATTCCAGGTTGTTAAGTGCCATTGAGTCACAGACAACTCAATAGCGACCCCAGGAATGAAAGACCTAAACACTTGTATAACTTTCATTGTTTTTCCAAGTTCATAGTTTCCAGAGGCAAGCTGTTTCGGAAGTGGATGCCACTCCAGCTTCCAAAGATAGTTTCTCTGTAGCATTCCAGGTACACCACTATTTGGATGACACTATGAGTGGTCTTAGGGCGCTCTGGTGGCCTAGTGGTAAGAAGCTGGCTTGCAATCCCAAAAGCATGTGGTTCGAATCCACCAGCTGCTTCCCAGGAGAAAGAGCAATTTCCTCCCATTTGATTAAATGCCTCTGAAAACAAGCCTAAGGGTCAGGTATGGTTTGGTTCCTCCTAGAAGATAACAACATGAGTAAGTGGTCTTAGCAATTGGGAAGTCATACCTTTCTAGTCTAGATGCTTTGGCCTTTCCTTTGTGTTTGCATTTATAACCCAGCAGACAACAAAATGGCAGAAAGTCTAATAACTATAATACATTCTACATTTATGTTTCACTGTCGATGGAGTTTTATTTTTTTGTTGTTGTTTCATGCCATAGAGTTGAGTCATAGCGACCCTGTGAACAAAGATCTGAAACCAGTCCTGTCCTATGCATCCTCACACTTCCTGATACACAAGAGCCCATTGCAGCAGTCACGGTGTCAGTCCACCGGGTTGAGGGTCTTCCTCTCCTTCACCAACCCTCCACCCTTCCAGACATCATGTCCCTCTCCAAGGAATAGCCCCTCCTAGCAATATGTCCAAAGTACATGAAGCAAAGCCTCATCATTCTTGCCTCCAAGGAGCACTCTGGCTGCACCCTCTCCAAGACATACCTATTCATTTGGTTTTTTGTCGATGGAGTTTTGCAAGTGGTTATTCCAGAACAAACAAAATATTAAAATACTCATAAGCTTTACAAAGTCCAAATATGTCAACCAGGGTAACTGTTTATTAAAACATAAACCAAAGAAAAAGCTATTTGTGCTTAAAATATAGCAATAACTTTTCACACAACACAAAAGGCTGCCCACTTTGATAGCACGCATTGCATGCATAGTTAATACAGCCACAGCTACAAAATAATGAGATGTCGTACTTTTAAAGTCACATGATAATCACATCAAAATACAAATAATGGAATCAAGTACCACTTATTATAATGGTGTTTTGTTAGAAAATTTTAACCAGAAAACTGTTGTAGTTAAAGTCCATTTCCTGTGCAAGGCCTTGTAAGGAGGTGGCTTTGCCACACTGCTATTTGGTGTATGTTTTTTTTTTAAAACTTATTTTATTATTTTTTGTGTGTGTACCATCAAATCGTATCTGACTGGTAACAGGAGGAGATTGCCCCTCCTTCTCCAGCAGAGCGTCTGGTGGATTCAAACTGCATACTTCTGGGATTGCAATGTAGCTTCTTGCCACTAGGCCACCAGAGCTCCTTTGGTGTACGTTTTTCCCAAAAGAATTGCTAACTAAAGTAAAAACTGTGGGGCCAAGTACATCATCTCCTGCATTTCAATGTTTTCTGGAAAGGCTGACAGCAGGCTTTAACACATCTTTCTGAATAAGCAGATGACTTTGAAAGTGTCAGAGTGTTTATTACCTGGTCATAAGGGAAGGCTTATGACTCAGAAGGTAGGGGGAAATTTCTGTAGTGATCCTCAATGCCGAGCAAGCATCCCAAATTTTCTGTAAGTAAAAGGCTCTAGAATATTTTCAAACAAACAAGTCTATTACACAAAATCAACTTGAAGGATGTCCCCCATGTGGAATGGTCAACAGTAGTCACGGGAAACATCCCAGATCCTTCCTTACACATCCAGTCTGTCTGCTTCTCTCAAACATGCTTGGACAAAAATGAAATCACACAATAATCTATAACATTTTTAAAGGTAAAATACTAAAGCTCCCAGGTTTTAATCACCATTCAGGCAGTGGAGTAAAGCTGCCTAACACAATACACAGTATGGAAATGAGTAACCTTGGTTACTGTTTCCAAGGACACTGAGCTCTTGGCTAACAAGAGCTGAGGTGAAGCTGAGCACAACACTGAGTCATTTTAGTGAACGTGTATAAAGACAGAAAACCAACATAATGGTATTCATAGTCCCTAAGTCCTTATTGGTGGTGTCACTTAAAGACATTTCCCCTATTATGCAAATATTAAAAGTAGTAAATATTTTTCCAAGGAAGGCTTTTTGTTAATAGCCGCTGAATGTTCCCCTTGTACCTTCTGGGAGGGACTATACCTATTATCCAAGTCAGCAGAAAGTATGCTTAGACATTTTATTTGAGGCATGCTGGAACAGACCTAGGGAAGGAAACCAACCTGGTTAACAGGTGTGCATGTGATACAAGCCACTGTCACAGAATTAACAGTCCAGAAAGCATTGTCAGACAAATATCGGCTAGAAAAAAAATAAGTTCCAACAATGTAAATGTCCAACTGGGAGACACCACACTGGCAAACATTGGCAAATCCTGCTATCCAGACTCCTTTATGGAATTTCCACGACCAGTTAGAAACCTGCTTTAAGTCTGGGCTGTGTAAAACACCAGTGCTGTGCCCCATAGGAAGATGTGGAGCACGGAGGCCCCAGGGCAAGCCTGCTGGAAACCTGCCCACCTCTGTTGTCACTGACACCCTTAACCGTTTGGAGAGTTAAAGCCACAGTTCAGAGATGGCTGTCTCAGTCATTAATAGCTAGCACTGGTGTCATCTGCAGCAAGTAAGCAAAACAGATTTATGTCATCAGCACTCCTCTGTGCATTCTGGCACATAATGTGTAGCAAAAGCATCTTCGAGGGCTGTTTAAGGGAACATAATAGGCATAAAAAAAATACAAAACACCAAAGTAGCATTCACTCAAGTTTTATCCTAAGAGAGGAGGAAAAAGTAATTATGCAAAAGCAACAATTAACGTGGTCAGGGCAACATTTTCAGCTTAAAAACTAAACCAGTGGCAAAAAGCCAAAGCCGCACAAAGCAACATAAGATGCAAACACTCTTCAGAAAACACATAACTGACCATTCAGAGAAATGTTAACATTGGTATGTTCTTTCCAATAGTCTTTTAACCTGTTGGCTCCACTCCACCCCAATTTTATGCATTCATCTTAATGTCAAGGAAACCTCTAAACCAAAGAGCATGAGCCTTTTCTTTTAAAATGCAGAACTTTTTCTGAGAACTTCCTCTCACTGCTCCTAAGTCATCAACTTCCACCATAAATATACATTGTACCACTCTCCTCTCAAGGCCAGGAACTCCATCTTCTAATTTCAGGTTTCTCTCATGGATATTTCAAAAACGAGCCATGTAAGTAAGGACACAATCATTAATGGGACTTTTGGAGTGAAATAATTGCTAAGATATTTCATCTAGTTGCCTTTCCAAATCTTGTCTGAAAAAAAGGTGCTTGTTCTCCAAGGGCAAGAGGTCTGCCCTGGTGTGCAAGACTTGGGCTTCTGTAAAAGGAACGTCCTTCCCTGGTGCAAAGCAACCTGGTATTTTTTTGGGGGGTGTTTTCTTGAGAGCTGACAGTTTTAGAAATGAAGCAGAAAAATGGTTCAGTTGTGACAGTAAAGGTGAGAAACCTGCCTGCACCCACCTGCTACTTACCATCCAAGCAAAGAGAGCAGAATTTTTCTATAAAAAGATAAGAACATCAGTTTAATCACATTTCCCCCATTTTATTCACTTCCAGTAGTACAAACTAAGGACAGATAAATTCATTCTACTTCACTAGACAATTAAGTGTTCTTCAGCACTGGCTTTTTATCAGTTCCAATCCTACAATAACTTATCTTTCTTCAACCATCAATTCTTCACAGTTTCAATACTGCAGCAGCAATTAGATACAGAAATTGTGGTCTATATTTTAAAACATCTTATGAGAACTAGAGATAGGTTAGCAAACTTCTGGCGCCACATGCATTTTGGGTAGGATGATTTGATCTCAAATCTCCAAGACTGGCCGTGGAAATGAAGGGGCCGAGTTTGCCTGCGGAAATGACTGGAATCTCCACAGTTCTGTTGTTTTTGTTTTTTTTTCTTTACCTCTGCTTTTTTTGGGGAATTCTTCATGTGGATTTATGGAGATGAACTTTGCAGGACTTGAATTCTGACAGTTGGTCTCTACCTTCCCCGGGGTGTGAGACGGAAAAACAACAATGTGGTTGTGCTTCAAAGAAGAAATTCTCAGAGCAAATCCGGCAAGATAAGACCAGGAGGTTTTGGTTCAACACAGTTGATCCAGAAGTTGGCACAGCTGGCATGATATTGGTGACCTCCATATGCCAGCTTGAAGTTGTCTGTTTCTGAGTTGAATGCCTGCCAGAAATAAACAGAGATGTGGGATGTTTCAGACTTCTTTTTGCACCAAAGTGCTGATCAGCAACAAACATACACCCTCTCCAGAGTTTGAGGCCAAAATGACACACACATAGAAGCTAAGCAGGTGGCTAAAAGAATTCAAGTGAGAAAGGTTTTTTGCTGCTAAATAAAGGTAGAAAAATCTTTACATTCAAATTTAGTTCTAGAAAAAACAAAACTAAACCCATTGCCATGGAGTTGATTCCAACTCGCAGCCACTCAAAGACACAGTGGAATGGCCCACAGGATTTTCAAGTCTGTAAACCTTCACAGAAGGAGACTGTGCTCTCTCACAGGGGACTGGTGGTTTGGGATGGCTGGCCCTTTGGTTAGCAGCCTAATTCTTTGAACACAAAACCGTCAGGGCTTCTTGTTTAAGTCAAAGGTCAAATTTTTCATAGAAAGGGCAGATAAAAGGGGAAGGATTTCAGGATGCCTTCATGGGCTGCTCAGCATTTTATGCCTCCTATACTGAAGGATGCCTTCCCCCATGGGATTATGTAATCCCTTAAATGTCAGTCATTCATTCAAATTTTTGTGGCTGATTACAGTTCTATCCTCAAAGAAAAAAAAAACAAACCCAAGATAATTAGAAAGCATCAGATAAAAACTCTCAGGATCTTAAATCATTGTGGCGACTGACTGGGCATCACTGAAAAGGGCTCTCATTTGCTTTGAGTCACAACCGACTCAGAGCTGAGCCTCCGGTGAGTGGTCAGAGGCTGTAAATTGCACGGAGGAGACTGCCCATCTTTCTCCTTTGGAGCAACTGGTGGATTAGAATCACATTTTTTGGGATGGCAACATAACCATCTACTAGGCCACCAGTGCTGCCATAGAAAGGTATTGCTATTGTGCATATTAAAAAAAAATGAGAAAAGAAAAAGTACATTAAAAACTTAAGAATTCACTCCCCACAAGTAATGCTCAGAGGTAAATAGACAACTGTCCTGACCTTAGTCACTTCCTGGGGTTTCTTTTCTTTTCTTTTTTATTAATTTAGTTTATTTTTCATTTCAGTGAACATCTACAGAGATTTTGGAATTCCATTCATTCATTGTTGCACCCTTCTCCCCGCACCCCCCCCCCCCCCCCCCGTTTGCTACTCTCCTTGAAAAGCAAAAGAAAAACTCGGGGTTTCTTTTCTAACGCATTATAAACAAATGAAAAAGAAAAACCTAAACCCTAAACCACTTCTTTTGGTGTGCTGACAGCGACCTCCAGAGCACTGGCTCTCTGGTCGCACTGCAGCCACTGTGGAGCTCCCAGGCCCCCAGGAGTTGCTCATTCTGCTGCCCTGCTCTTTGAAGAGAAAAACAACAGCACTGCCCGAAGCCAATTAGGAGATGCAAGCATGCAAACAAAACAGAGTAGATCCATACAGACATGTTAGCTGATTAAATCAAACGTCAGGGGCACAGAGATGACTCAGTAAAAAGGTTCGTGATTGGAACAGTTCAGGATGGCAGTGGAATCATCCCACTTGCCTTCCACACTCAAAATTAAGATGGAGACGCTAAGATAATGTTTCATACTTTTTTAGGATGCTCTTCTGCAGGCTTCTCTTCTTTCTGAAATAATGTTGAAACCATAAGGTCAACAGAATTCCCAGAACAGGGCCTCTTGCCTCCAAACAAGTCCTGTGGGGCTGAACCTTCTCTCTTCACCACCCCCAGCGTGCACAGTGCAGACAGCACACTCTTTAGAAACAGGATGGCACTGGTTTCCCTCGAGGCCTCCCCGTTGCTCTTCTGAAGGAATGATCTGTGACTACGGTCAGCTCTCCAGGCCTTGGAAAAGCCCACCTCTGGTCACAGTCACAAACCTTGCAGTGAGGTGGGCAAACGGAGTATGTTCGCCCTTAAGTCACGTTACAGAAACACCTTGCCACCTGCGCAACACAGGCGTGACTTACCCGACTCCTGGAGTCCACGTTTAAGAGACACACCCCACAAGCAAGTTCCTGGGCATTTTTAATTCCAGGACGTAGCATACAGGAAGAAAAATCCAGCGAATTTTCATCTGGCTGTGAGGGTGACAAGACAAATGAGTAAGAAGTCAGCAATTCTAAAATGCTGTTTGCATCACTCTCTAGTCATTCATCTCCAGAAGGTCCAGCAGCGGGTTAAGTATATTTTTTAGTATCACTGATACAATCAATTTCTCCAACACACAGTCTACATGTTAGAGATGCACGCTGGAGCAAGAGCTAGTTCTTGTCTTCTGGGAACTCACAGTCTAAGGGGCAAGCTGCAAAGGAACTGGGCAACACAGTGCCAGCAGAGCCATACAAAGAAGAGTGCAGAGGGCCAGAGGGCATGGAAGGAACACTCATCCCAGCCAAGGAGGAACAGATTACTAACTAGAACCTAGGAACATCCTGGCTGAATTCGGGTGAAAATGAGCCAGATAAAGGGGTGGGACCAGATGAGACAGTTGTCACTGTGAGGTGCTGCTGGGTAGTCACAGCACACTATGTAAAGCAGGTCCGAGCCCTGTCCTTTCCTGTGCCCCCTCCTCATCTCGGATCTACCTGAGCTCATTGTTACTGTCACTATGTCAACCCATCTTTACGGAGAGTCTTCCTCTCTCTTGCTGACCCTCTTCCTTTCCAAGCATGGTATCTTTTCCCAAGGACTGATCCCTCCCTCCTAACAATGCAGAGGAAGGAATATTTTACATACAACAAGCAGCCCAAAAGAATTCTAAGGAAAAGACCATGAAGGTCTTGAGGGGGAGTGCTAAGTTGATAAGGGGAAGTAAAAGATGAGGCTAAAGAAAGGACAGCTTTGAAGTGAACAGAAAGGGTGGAGACTTCATCCTGGGAGGTCATGAAGGCCTCTAATTGGAATGCAATTCCTCTGGGAGCAGTGTAGGGAATGAAGTGGGGCGGCTATCCTTGTGGCCTGGGTCTTATCGGAAGGCAGCGTCATATTAAAGGTGAGAACCAAGGTAGCAGCAGTGTGGAATGGAGAGAAATGAACACCTGCATCAAAAATTAAAACAATAGTATCAAAGGCCTGGAGCAGGAGAGGCCAGGGCAGCTGAGAGAATGTGCCAGAAGGTGGTACCTGAGAGGAAGACCAGGGAAGTGGCATGATGCTGACAAGATGAGCTTAGTCTGGGCCAGATAAGTTCAGCTGCTATGCAAGTGGGCAGTTAGATTTAGAGGCCTAGCAGGCAAGAGTGAGAACTTGGAAAGCTATCAATCAGCTAGAGACAGTAAATAACAACAGCTAATACACCAAGCATTACATGTTCCGAGTATTAATAGATAATCTGCAGCTGTTTCTCCTCACTTTGACTTGTGCTACATCAGTAAATAAAGGTCCTTTCGTATCTAAAAGCTTTATTACATACATCCATGTCATTAAGGTAGACTCTACTTTTGAAGAGACAGCAATTCCTTAAGAAGCAGTTGTCGGAACAGAAAAAGGGGATTCAGTATGGTTCAAACATACCCTTTTCTTTTCTTAAGATTTCATATGACAAGTCTATTTTTGGGGACTTATTTTTTTCTTCCTTCCAAGTCCACTGAGCATCAATTCACATACACAAAATAAAATCTTAGATAATAATTCACTCAGGGAACTGACATTCCAAGGCCATGAGATTTCACTAAAATAGATTGGTTTTTTTTTCTTCTTGAGAAAGGAATGTTTATTCCCTCAGCCTATGCTCAGAGGGAAGTTCTTTTACTACAAGAGGGACTCTTGTTCTCGTTCTTAATTCTCACAGTCTCTGGGCTGGAAGAGATGCATAACTGACCCCGGCCAGCAGGTTTCGGAGGTCCAGGTTTCTTTCTCCTGCAGAGTGAGTGGTGAACGCAAACTGCCAGAGACGATGGCTTTTTGGTTAGAGTGCCACGAAGCTGGCTCTGACTTAACAACCCTGCACACAACAAGACGGATGCTGCCTTGTCCTGCACTCCCCTCACAACTGTTGCTATATTTAAGGCCACTGATGCAGCCAGTAGTCAGTCCGTCTTGCTGAAGGTTTTCTTACTGACCCTCCACTTTTTCATGCATGCAATCTTTTCTTCAGGGTCTGGCCCTTCTTAATAACAAAGTCCCACATCTTTCTTTCTAAGGAGCACTCTAAAGACTATCTTCTAAGCCAGCCTGGTCCATTCTTCTGGCGGACACCTGGACCAACACCACAATTCAAAGTGCCATCCTTGTCCTCTAGCATTTTAAAGACGCCCTCTGTAGCCGATTTGCCAGTGCAATGTGGAGGTTGATTTCTTGGCGGCTGCTTCTGTTGTGGGTATACTGTGGAGGGCCCAGGTAAAATGAAATCCTTGACAACGTTAATCTCTTCTGCATTTATTCTGGTGTCGCCATTGGTCCAGCTGTGAAGATTTTTGTTCTTTTCATGCAGAGGAGTAATCCATATTGAAGGAAGACGCTTAGAAATGAACTGTTTTTCTCAGTTTGTTCCTATGACCACAAGAGGGAGTCTTAGACTCTGGATAAAAGGAGGAATATAGGGAAAGAATGACACGAAGCTGTATAACTTAGAGCCATGAAAATGTAAACCAAACCAAACCAAACCAGTTTGCCATGAAGTCAGCTTTAATTCATGGTAATACTATACGAGTCTAAGGAGAACTATATTTAAGACACTTTCCTTAGTCCAGCATCACTGCTTTGATGTAGCACTATAGTGCAGAGCTTTTCATTAGAGAAATGCCTTTTTATGTGAATCATTTTATGGAGTCTTCAAGGGAAGAAATAAGACTTTTCCAGAAACTTTAGAAGTTAGAAATAACTTTAGAGGTTAGAAAAATGAGAACAGATTTTGAAAGACTAATGTTGATTGATTCAAATTCCACATTAGTTCCGTATCCTAATTCTTCAAGAGGATCCTAATTCTTCACAGAAAAGATGGAAATTATACTACTGACTTCATAAGATTACTACTGAGACTATGAATGCAAAGCATATAGTACCATGTCCAGCGGTTTGTAGGCGCAAAGGAAAAGGTAACCACTGTTGTTAGTATTAGTGGAAGCAAAGAGCCTCAGAGTGGCAATTCAAGTAGAAACTCATCTATGTAAAGTCTCACTGTCACCAAACTGAAGAACCTTATGATTCTAACAAAAAAGGAAGCAGCTTTTAAGCTACTCTATACTCTTGGGGACAACATACGGAAACAAATGTAGAAAAGAGCTTGACTGATTATATCAAGTGCTCACAGGACATCATTCTCATGGCTCACCTCCTTAACCCTGCTGCGAAGGACTCCTCGAAGGACTCCTCCCACCTCCACTTACCTAGAAAGAAGGTTTGCACATCTCTGATTTCATTCACCCTATTTGTCCATTTCAAGGAGGTAACATGGTAGTTGAAAAAATAAACAACTTAGTACATTAAACTTGCTTCTGGACATGAGTTTTGTTTTTAAGCTTGTTGCCTTAGGAAGTGTTTCCAGAGGAAAATTACTGAGTAAACTAACTATTGTGAACATTTGCAAGTCCTTCCATTACTTCATTTGACTTTTATTGGGTATTTACAAGGTGGCTAGCACTGTTCAGATCAAGAACTAAATGAAGAGCAAAATGCAAGGCTCAAGGAGTGCACAGAAAAGGGAAAGGACATCACCAAACCCCTTTCCCGTTTGGCTGCCAGTGTAGATCTCCTCCTTAATAGCCAGTCTTCATTTTGCCACATCTATATGACTATGTTTTTAATTAATTTCTTTTTAAGCACTATCATGATTTATGAATTATTACGAGAGCTGGATAATGAGTAAAGAGGACAGAAGAAGAATCCAAAGCCTTTGAGTTATGCTGCTGGAGAAGAGTATTGAACACACTATGGTTTGCCAAGAGAACAGACAGGTCTGTCCTGGAGAAAGTGAAACCAGGTTGTTCCTTGGGGGCAAGAATATTTTTAAAAAATTTTCATTATATATTTGTTTACTTACAAAGTTCATATACATTGTTTTTCCACACTGGATCTTTCCCATTTCCTTTACCCATCCTTCCCTTCATTCATCAAATTGTGCGACCCTATGATTAACACTCCCATCACGTCCATCCGCACTCCTCTGCTCCCCCTTTGATCCTCATACACGTTCTATAATAATGCTCTTATACATTATAGGTCCTTATGGGACTGAGTTAGTTCACTTAGCATAATGCTCTCCAGTCCCTCCCAAGTTAGGCAGTGATTTACAAAATCATTGCTGCTGTGTGCTGCATAGTATTTCATCATGTAAATGTACCATAATGTCTCAATCCATCCGTTTGTGGTTGGACATCTGGGCTGTTTCCATGTTGTTGTGATGGTGAATAACCCTGCTATGAACAATGGTGTACAAGTCTCCATTTGGGAAGGTAAGGATTTTGAAGCGCCTTCTGACATATTTTGGGCATGTTGTCAGAAGGACCAGTCCTTAAAGAAGGATGTCATACTTGGAAGAGTGGAGGGTCAGCGCAGAAGAGGAAGACCTTGGACCAGATGGACTGACACAGTGACTGTAGCAATGGGGTCAGATGTGTAAGGGTGAGGCAAGGTTCAGAGCCACTGGTCATAGGGTCACTATGAGTCATAGTCGATTCAACAGCATTTTAACAACTATGATTTGAATAAATAAACCAAACAAAAATCAGTGAGTAAAAAATGAAATTTTGTTTTCCTTTTTAATTAATTTTTTCTTGATTTGTTGTATGTACTCTTTTATTAATTACTTTATGCTCTCTCTCCAGTTTTACTGGACTACTGCTTTATTTCTTATTGATCTATATGCTTTCTTTACAGAGCACAGACATGAAGCCATTGCTTCATTGTCATGGTTTTTTCCTAGTTTATCACTTAAATACTCAATGAAACCTGTTGCTTTAGTTACTGAAAGGATACTTTTAAATTCTTTATTTTCCCTTTTCTGGCTAATCAGCTTTGCTTTATAAAACCTTTCCCTTCACCCAACTCACTACGTGTCTGTTATTTAATTTCTGATGGAGCAGCGTGTAGCAGCATGTTGCACCACTAACTGAAATGCTGTGCACCTCCGGTTCAAATCCGCCCTCTTCCCCACCCAAGGAGGCTCACGACAGACGTGACTCAAGGGCAGTGACTGGGTATCTACGTACTGATTTTCCTTCTCCTCTCTCATCCCTGGTAATCCTGAAAGAGTACATTTTCCTGTTTGTCTATTTTTTTTTGTTGTTGTTAAGTGCCATCAAGTCACTTGTGACTCATAGCGACCCTGTGTACAACAGCCCTAAACTCTGCTCTGTCCTGTGCCAATCGCACTGCTTCTGACACTCCCATCCCAATTACCCCAGTCACTGAGTCAATCCACCTCATAGAGGGTCTTCCCCTTCTGCGCCGTCCCTTCACCCTCCCAAGCATGATGTCTCTCTCCAAGGACCTGTCCCTTCTTACATCATGTCCAAAGTATGTCAGACGAAGCCCCAGAATCCTTCCTGGTTAGGTTGTCTTCACTATCACTATGATCAGGTCTTGTTTTTTTCAATATGTATCTGTAAGATTTCCCATTATATTTAAAAATGAACGTATGAAGAAGAAAAAGCAGTAACAGCCAGACATACACATATACACACACAGAGTAAAAAGTCCTACCAAACACAAGAACACTTTATTAGTGTTCTAATAAAGAAATAAGGGCTGGAGTCTTTCTTACGTTCAAGAAACTGACAAACAAGTCAAGTTTGCCCAATTGTGGGAAAGAGAAAAGGAAGCCCACAATTATCAGTAAGTGTTACGAGCTATGATAGGGAAATGTGCTACCGACACACACAGGAACAACATCTGGTTCAGGCTGAAGGGGGCTTAGGATGACTGGTGGGGAAAATGGCATAGAGGCAAAGGAGCCTACACAGATAGACAAGGTCAATCCAAGAGACAGAAATATCCATATCGGCTACGCTAAGGAGTTTAAACCTGACCCCGAAGACTATGGAGAGTCCTCTGAAGGATTTTAAATGGGCCTTAACATAATCTGATTTGCATTTGAGAAATAACAGTCTGGTAATGGTGGGTAGAACTCACTGACAGAGATGAAGAGCAGAACCAGGGCCCCTAACTAAGAGGCCAGAAGTTCGGGTGAGGGTCTGAGTGATTCAACATATTTTTTTTAAAAAGTTTCCTATTTATTAGGATTTCTAATTATTGTTAATATGCAGGAATGTTATGAATTTTTGCTCAACAAAAAAAAATTTAAGTTCTTTGACTTCAGATATCTGGAAGTATTTCATATCACCAAATAACATAATTTTGTCTTCTTTCCAATATTTAGACTTCGTTTCATATTAGCCAGAACAGTACTGTTTAAAAAGAAATACTCAAATTGTACGATTTTAGGCTATAAGTTGAAAAAAAAAGGCCCAAGGGAACAAAATGTTTTAATCACTTGATTATCACAAACCAGAAGCAACATAACAATGGTGAAAGATCTGTTATTTAAGACATGTTGGTGGGACAATTGTGTGCCGACCTGGCTATCAATACAGAGCAATAGGAACTGCTTCCTACCACACAGTTACATTCCTGTTCAGATTGGCCACAGTTAAATGTGTTTAAAAAAAAAGAAGAGGAAAACAGAGTAGGATATTTATTCCAGCTGTGGACGGAAGATAAACGCCTGACTACTGTGGAAATAAAGCATAGCATACAAGACAAATGGGATAGGTATGAATATATAAAAATAAAATAGGTTTCCCCAACAAAATGCAAAAAAGGTACAGTAATAGAAAAGGCAAAATAACTGATAGAACGTACTACCGGAGATGTATTTTTATAAGTATTACTACCTAATATATACTAAAAAAAGAAAAAAAGAGGTCAATAACTAGATTCCATTGACTCAATGATCAAATTAGATGAACAATTTATATGCAAAAGAAATAGAAATAGTAAATTATCACCTGCAACACGGCATAGCTTTTCTGGAAAAGAAGAAATAGAAATTACAAACAACTTTATGGGATCATGCTCTTGTTAAATTAAGAAATCTACGAAGAAAGCTGGAACACAGAACAGAGAACTGCATATTGATGTGTTGTTGGTGCCTCTGCCAAATTGCCCACACTCTCTGGGAAATAAATAAGTGGAACGAGAGCTACATGCACACGTGCATGTACATGTGCACATACACGCAAACATGCACATCGTTTCAGGAACATATCCCTAAAAGAGGAAAGAGACATGTATTTAAAGATTTTGGAGGAGAACTATTTGTAGGAGGAATAATGGAAACAATTCGAGAGCCTAATGAGAGAAAAGGGAGCGTTAGCAGCTGAGTGGCTAAGAAGCTTTTGCCATAATCCCTGAGGCACCCAGTTCGAATCCACCACTTGCTCCACAGAAGGATGGGCTCTCTCCCTGTGTGACTTACTGCCTCTAAAAACCCACCAGAGGCTCAGCTACAACTTGATGGTACAAAACAATGAAAGAAAAGAGGGTAAACATACCACAGGATGGCAACAAGATCTAGTATATGGTTTCTAAAAAGACATAAGGAGGACAGAAATACTAACAGGAAAAAGGAACTCCAATTCATGCTTTGAAAAACATGCACGCATATAAATTAAGAGGGATGCAGAAAAAGTGAGTGCTTTTCTAAACTCTTAGAGTATTTAAATAGAACACCTTTGGAGTTATCTACCAGGCAACTAACTGCATCAAAGTTCAAATAACAGCACAAATGTTGTCTTCCTCCTTTAACAGAACATGAACCAGTAAGTACCTTCAAATTCCAGTAAGTGCTACCATGGGAGACAGACGTCCTCTTTTACAACTTAGGTTTCTAGAAAGAAAAGTAACCGCGGAATTGTCTAGCAGGCTTACTGTGAGCGTGGCAAGTGACATGAAGCCGATGAGGTTGTTCCACACTTTATCAATGTCCTTCAGCAGCTGCTGGAGTTTCTCACTGCATACTGCCGTGGCCTTGATCCCCAGCTCCACCCGTTTGGTTACCCTGTACACCTCAACGACACCTGACGGAGTGAGAGAGCAAGAGAGTGAGGTCTGAGGTGCAGAAAACAAGAGAAACAAGACAAGACAATAAGGCAGCATTATTACCTGCTGATATCTTTACTGCAGTTAAGACACGCATCTGGGCAGAAGTCACTTTACTGTTCCTTGGGACAAACTACCCCCTCAACATTGCTATACAGCTCACTGATAACAAAATAGACTCTGGAACTGCACTAAACCATAATTTATTCCTGTCAAGTCCACTAGATTTACAGTGACTCCAGAGAGTCAGAAAATTGCCTCATACAGTTCCCAAGGGGGTAAACTTTGCTGAAGGCCACATTTTTTTTTCTATAGAGCTACTGTTAGTTTCAAATCAGCAACTTTGTTGTTAGAAGTCAAGCACTTTGACCACAGTGGCACCTGGGTATATGGAAAACTACACTACTAGGGTTCAGATTGCAGCTCTGTCACTTGCTACCCATGTACTCTTGGTCAAGTCACTTAACCTCTCTGTGCCTCAATTTCTTCATGTAAAATTGGGCTAATAATTCTATCTGTTCAAAGGTAAATGAGTCATTACATGAAAACGGCTTAGAACCGTGTCCAGGAAACCTTGACCACTGTATTAGCTCTTATTTCCTCTCTAACTTCTTAATGAGCCCATTCTTTGAATTTGGGGAATCCCATTAAACAAACTGCAAATAAAAGTTTAAAAAGAATCTAACTGTTAGTATTTATTACAAAGTAATTAAAAAATAGATCATCCTCCCCCAAGTCTTCAATGATTTATAAACTCTGGCATCATGCATCTTTTATACAGGACACAGGAAGCAGTATGGCCTTATCCTGTGATCTCTGAATTGTGGCTTAACTTTTCAAGAAGGATGACAGATGCCAAGTACTATCACATTCTCATGCAAGCCATTGGACACCTCCCCACCTTCTTAGCCTCTTGTCCTCATCTTTAAAGAGAAGACTGGAGGGATTGCAGGGGACTTCAAAGTGGCAGGTCATCAGCCTGACTTTTTCCTCTTCCTTCCCCAGAAGAAGGGCAGGGGTTTTGATCACCCTAAGCTAAGTGTGGGTATTGAAGAGAGTCTTCCACATAGATAAGGAAGCCTACCGGAAGGGAAGACCATTTTCCCTGTTTCCTGATGGACACGAGCCCACACAGCAGAAGTGGGCTTGTGCGAGCAGGATAAGAGGAACGGCAGTGAGGTGGTACAGTGAAAGGACCAACCACCTCCCTTCACTAATCTATTATTCAGCGAAGACTCTACAGTGTCTACCACGTGTCGGCCACTGTTCTCGATGTTGGGGGTTATAGCAGTGAACAAAACAAAGCTCTTGCTTCCTTGGAGCTTCACTGTTATTGAAGGAGAGAGACTATAAACTAGAATGACTGGTAAAATATTAAAAGCAAAGGCTAAGGACAACATTAAATAGGGAAGGGATCAAGAAGTATTAGGGAGTGGAGAGAAGGGATAAGAGTTTTGAGGAAGGAAAGCTAGAAAAGGTCTCCCTTAGAAGGTGACAGGTGATATTTGAGTAAAGATCCAAAAAAAGAGAAAAGTCCAAATCACATGGCCACAGCTAAGCTTGAAAGCAGGGATACTAAACTGGACAGAGATTCAAGTTTTCAACTGTGTTAGGATGTTTAATAGTGGAAGGTGGCCAGGAAGCTAGGGAATGTGCTTGTGATGTTATGAAGGGGTAGAAAGAAAGATTCCCACAGAGCATGGTAAAGCAGCGACTCAAGAGAAAATGACTTCATTGTTATGCTTCACCTAGTTCCGACTCTTTGATAACACTAGAAAACATAGCCACAGAGACCTTAAGCCGGATAGCTGTTAATTCGTGTGACTTAAGTGTCTTATCTATGAACACAGATGCTAAGTGGAATAGTTTGTGGCTTCAGAGATCAAGATTAAAATACTTAATGCAAAAGGAAACAGAAAATAATGCAAAGTATCACAATTTTATATGAGTAAAATATAAAAGAACATACCTAATAAATATTCCATGCCTTGAGCTGACTGAATTACTTCTGTGCAAACAGAACTACTACTGATTCCATTTAAGGTATCATTTGCCTTTTTTATGACCTGTAAGACATCAAATCACCTTAAGCAATTAAGAAAAATCATTGCAAATCAAATTACTATTAGCAGAACACATACTCATAACCCCAGAGATGTGAAAAATCATGAGTAACTGATGAATGACGATGCTGAAATAAATCTGATAATTTAATTTTAACCTTCAACAAATAACTCTCTCTTTCTTTGAAAGAGATCCCCCAACTTCAATATTATTTTAATTTAGGCAAAGTTCACTATGTCACTTGGATTATTTTCTTTCTTTCTTTCTTTTTTTTTAAAACAGGTGAGGTCCTTTATTAGCTGTGAAGCACGGGGATGATTATTTCTTAAACAGGATGACATACAAGGAGGCAACTGATGTCTGAGCCAAAAGTATTATACACATGACAGAAAACTTTTCACATATATATGTGAAACATATATGTTTCAAGACGCACAAGGCTTTCAAGATAAAGCTCTCAAGTTCACCTCTATTCTTTTAAATAAACAAGGAGAAGATAAAACAGCCCAAAAGCGTACTTACACGGGCATGAACACCATAAAAATGACATACTCACATCTAGGGCGCTCCTCAGACATCTCTGCCATTCATATGCGTATCTCTCATTCTCCTTTGAATTAAAAAAAAAATCTGGGTCAACTGGGCTTGTCTGAAATCCTCTCATTATGACTTCTGTCCATGTAAAGAGTGCTGGAAGATATTGTTTTTATTAAAATTATTTTAGCTCAGTTTATCTTTGAACTTACTAATGAGGGAGATCTGGTGGCCTAGTGGTAAGGAGTTCCTCTGGAGAAAGGCAGGCGATCTCCTCCCATGCAATTTATTGCCTCTGAAAACTCCCTGGATGGTCAGCTAGGAGTCGGTTCTGATTCAACAGCAATGAGTGGTTATTTTAACTTATAAAGTCTGGAGCTCTGGTGGCCTAGTGGCAAGGGGCTGCACTGCAATCCTCAAGGCACGTGGTTCGAATCCACCTGATGCTTTGCTACAGAAGGAGGGGCAACCTCCTCCTCCTTTGCCAGGTGGATCCGATTCGGCAGCATACCCCCCCAAAAAAGTTATTAATAAATTTAACTTCAGAGAGATCTGTAAATCTGAGGGAAACTGTTCAAATCAATTCCCACTCTTAATGTTGCCTCATTTCTGCTAGTAACAGTGTAAATTTTTCATCAAAGGTCCTCATCATGTAGGCCTATTACAAAAGTCAGCATGAAACCTTTGGCTTCTGCTCTACAGCTGCAATATGGGATGTGCGCATGTGTGACAAAGATTGGAGGGACAGGGCTACAGGAGGAAGCCCCTGGCATTAAGACAAAGCAAATACAGTCAGAAGATCCAGAACATTTCCCTCTCCCCTCTTTTTGTCGTTTTAACATTCACAAAGACAATAAAATTTAAATGCTCAAAAAGAACTCCTCAAATACTTCTCTCTTTATAAAGTCCCATGAAGTTTCAGTTTTAAGTTCACTAACTACTTTCAGGGAGCTTTGGCAGCTTAGTGGTAGAGTTGCGCGCTGCAAACAGTGGTTCGAATCCACCAGTTGCTCCAAGAGAGAAAAATGGGAAAACTTCCTGTGTGATTTACTGCCTCTGAAAGCCCAATTGGGTAAAGCCTGAGTTATCCCCTGAAAGCCCAATGGAGGGTCAGCTACGATTCAGTGCTGACTCATGAGTACATAACTACGACTTTCAGTGAAGTTCCGACAGCTTAGGAGATAAGGAGTTGTGTTGCCAACCCACAGACAGGCAGTTCGAATCCACCAGCTGCTCCGAGGGAGAAAGATGGGGAATTCTCCTCCTCTTGGAGAGTCAGCAACAAGCTGACTATGACACAAAACACCAGCAGCAGCAGCAGCTACTTTGAGTGGCGGCCACATGTGAAAAGTAAGTAACACTCTAGCATTAATGTCACCACTCTCCCTGGTGTCTTGCAACTTTCTGCCCTTTCTTTTCCCTTGAGAAAGCTGAAGGCTTTTTTCCCCCCCCTCTGGGGTCTTTCATGTCTGTGACCTGGCTCCCATGGAAGGCCAGCCTGCTCACCTCCACCTCTCCTGTCAGATCTTTGTACTTGTCACGGATGACGGGCAAAGCTGGCTTCTCATTCAGAGTGTTGGAACGGTCCCGGAAAGGCTGCTCCAAAGCCGGTGAAGGAGAGGAACGGCTTATTTCTTTATCACCGAGGCTCAAACTCCTCTTGTGAGATCCTGGAAGTGAATGGTACATGAGCCAAGGTTTGAGTTACTTGGCTTAATTCAAGCAGAGGTGCTTCCCCAATAACCCAATTCTGCTTCAGCTGTTTATTCAAAAAGGCGGTCAGAAACACAATCCTTCTTCATTTGGGGAAACTACATGTGGGATCCTGTCAATATTTTTCTCTTAGATAGTTTCCTTACCTTTTGTTTTCTCCATTACTCTTCTCTGATTTACCATGACCACTGCAGTCTAGAGAGTGAAAGTGACTTCTAAACATCAATGTATAGCATGTATTACTTTTCCAGTCATTAGTTATGCATCTGTATGAGCCTCCAAAATACTTTTTCACTTTGTCATCAATGACCCCCTTTACAAGGCTAGGATTAAAGCACAAGGGACAACTCCAAATATCCTAGAGACTAGACAAATAAAGCAAATGACTGAAACAGATCAGTTGAAGATAGGGGAGTATTAGGGATTGTCCCAAATTGGGAAAAGCTTAGCTCGTGTGTTCCTTGCAATAAGGAGATGGGCTGCCAACCCAAAGGCAGGTAGTTCAAGTCTTCTAGCTGCTCTGTGGTGTGAAAGAAAGATAAACAATTTCCTCCCATACTATTTAGAGCCCGTGAAAACCCACTGGAGGGTCAGCTGGATTTGGTCCTGACTCAACAGTTGAGTTGTTGAGAATACCAACTAAAGGGAGCATTACCACCCAGTCCCACGGTAAAGAGGGGAAGATCTGCAGGCCAAGTATCGACAGAAATGTCTTTTCAAGAAGCTATAAATCCACATTAGGAAATCTCTCATGACTTTTAAATACTGGAAAATACTTCAAACTTTTAAAAAGAGAATTTCTTTAGGGAGCAATTAACCAAAGTCTGCAGTCTGGATCTAGATCCTCAAAGGGGTGACTGGATTAAAAGTGACTGTCTACCCAGGAACTAGAGGCAGGCTAACTAACCAGCCATTCCTCTGCTCTGACACCACTGGCCAAGATGCTGCTGAACAACAGACTAATTATTCTCTTTTGTGTTTAGCTAACACAATGGGTTCTTCTGTGTGACTTACAACCTCCATATACGTGCTGGAGAGTCAGCTCTGATACGACACATAACAACAGTATACAATGCCTGAGATTGACAGTGCTCACCTACAGATAAGGGTCCTTTGGCAACGTAAGTAAAGCAATGGGTTTCTAATGGGAAAGGTGCAGTTTGCTTGAACACACCAGCACCTTCACAGGCGAAAGATGAGGCAATTGGCTCCCATAAAGAATTCTAGCCCTAAAAAAGGCTATGCTACTGTTGTTGTTGTGTACCACAGAGTTGGAACTGACCCCTAGCTGACCCTCCGGCAGGTTTTCAGAGGCAGTTAGTTAACTGCATGGGAGGAGACTTGTCCATCCTTCTCAAGAGTAATGGTTTAACTCTAGGGTGGGAACAGGGAAATAATTTTTATATTTACCTCTTTCAGAACCTGTGAAATCAGAGACCATATTTTTATTCTTGAGAAAGAACACTTAGTAGGCTAATGGAAGAAGACAAGATGGTAAAACCTCTGTGTTGAAAAGAGTAAAACATCTGTGGTGAAGCTACTCACCTTGAACAGAAAGGTCAAATGTTGCCAGCTCACTTTTAATCATTTCTTCACTGGATTTCATTTTGCCTTGGGCATTGGCCATTAAAAAGTCAAACTTGCTGATTTTGGGCTTTTCACTTTGAAACTCTCCAAAATCATCTGAGCACTCTTTTGGGGTTTCATGAGACGCACCACTCGAAGCTGGGCTTGGACACAAGACCTCCTGGCCCCACTCAGCGGAAGGCAGGTCCTGACTCGTGAATTCTTTATAGTTGCCGCTGTCATAGTCCTTTGGCTCGCTGGTCTGAGGAATGCCATCTTTAAAATTGGCAAACGCTGGAAAGGCTGTCTCAGGGTGAGCGTCTTCACTTGCAAAGGCAGATCCTCTGGAGAGTGGAGCCATGGAGATGCTTTCAGAACTGCCAAATGAAGTCTCTTTCTTCTGAAGACCGGAGGCAGCTGAGGAGGGTCCGCTTCCTGCTGAGAGGACAAACGGAGAGAGTTTTCTGCCCTGTGACGTGTCATCCCTGTCTGACCAGTCATAGTTTGTCAGAGTGCTCACTGCAAAACTGCTACTGTAGGTTCCAAAAGCAGCATATTTTAAGTCCTCTATATCTGAAAGGGAAATAAGACCCCACAATTAGAGAAGGCTCACAATTTAGGCTGGATGTCCTAAACTCAGCAGAAGCAAAATGCCTAGCATATCTGATTAATTTTAAGCTGTGTTAATGTAAACTATATTTACAGTTTGTATTTGGCTATAAAATGTGAAGTTTGTTTGTTTTTACAAAAAAAATCCCGTATTAGCCTTGAGGTGGTATCTATATTCAGTTACAAAGAAACACTTACTCTGGATATAACAACTACTTAAAAAAAAGAAAAAAGGTAGTTCATTTACCAATGCATATACTGTTTGATATAAAGTTAGTCATTTAGAGAGAAAACTGTTTAAATGGGATATGTGATTAGGTATTATTGTCATGACAGGAGTCCAGAATGAAGACTGCATAGTGGAGTAGACCTGGGGAGAGGGATTGTAAAACAATAGGGGAACTTTTCTTTTACTTTTCAAAGAGACGAGTATACTGGGTTGGAGGACTGGTCAGGGAGAAAAGTGCAATAATAAATGAATGGAAATCTAAAGTCTCTGTAAATTTTCATTAAAATTAATTTTAAAAAAAGCAAAAAAAAAAAAAAAGTTAGTCATTTAATAACTGGTCAATTGACTTATATTTAAAAACATGCTTACATATTCCCTGCCTAAAGCATAGCTCTTTCTACCCTGTTAAAAAATGTTCCTTCAAAACATGTTCGTAGAAAATATATGTACAAGTTAAATTAATGAAAACTATGATTTCTCAAAACTAACCTGATTGCCAAGAAAACAAACAGATTCATCCTGGAGAGGGTTAAACCGGGCTACTTCTTGGAGGCAAGGATTCTGGGGCTTCGTCTGACATACTTTGGACATGTTGTAAGGAGGGACAGGTCCTTGGAGAGGGACATCATGCTTGGTAGGGTAGAGGGACGACAGTACAGGAGGGGAAGACCCTCTATGAGGTGGATTGATTCAGTGACTGGGGTAATCAGGATGGGAGTGTCAGAGGCAGTGCGATTGGTACAGGATAGAGCAGGGTTTAGGGCTGGTGTATATACGGGTCGCTATGAGTCACAAACGACTCAACGGCACATAACAAAAACAACAACAACAACAACCTGAAAATACTGCTTCGTAACTTTCAGTTACTAGACATTTTCATCCCAAGCAAAGCCAAACATGATGATTTAATCAGGCAATTACTTACCTAGTTGTTATTTTGGTCAGTTTGGATGTCATATTGCTGTGGTGAAGTATGAGGAAAGAAAAATTAATCTAAAAAATTGTCATGTGCCGTGAGTCAGAACGGACCCACATCTGACCCTGCAGTGGCTTTTCAGAGGCTGTAAACAGCAGGAGGAGAGTGTTCATCTTTCTCCCTCGGAGCAGAAGGGGGATTTGAACCACCTCCCTTTAAGTTTGCACAGCAACTCCTTATTTACTAGACCATCATTTATGCTAGCCCCTAAAGAGTAGAACCAAGATTCTGGGTCTGGTTTGGCTCCTGTTTCAATTATCAATCTTTAGTCTCCATTAAAAAAAAGGGGGGGGGACGGGAGCTCTTATGTCCTAGTGGCAAGAAGGTGCACTGCAATCCCAGAGGTGTGTGGTTCAAAGCCACAAGATGCTCTGCTGGAGAAGGAGGGGCAATCTCTTCCTGTACTAGTCAGATACAATTTGATGGTACACACACATAAAAATAATAAAATTTTTTTAAAAAGTTAAGGAAAAATAAAAAACTCCCACCACTATGGGGCCAAAGATTCATTTTACAAAACATTCTTAATATATATTTAAATCACTTTAACCAGCAGCCAGTAACTGATGAAAACAGAACTGGGTTCAACTAGAAGCTCTGCTACATACTAATTGTGCGGCAGTAGGCAATTCATTCAGAATTTCCAAATACTGATGCGTGTGTTTGTAAAATGAGGAGAAGACCATCTACTTGAAAGCACTGAGCTTGGAAGATTAAATGTGATAATGTTTGTACAGGGCCTTGTTTGGTGCCTGGTGAACAATGTGTAACCGTTGGAAGTGGCTGGTAAAGTGAGGTGAATGAAGGTTTGGGTCTGACCTTAGTTCAGGCAGAGGCTTGAACACAACTCCCCATAATACAACTCTGCTTCAGTTGTTTATTGCACAGGGCAGTCAGAAACTCAATCCTTACTCATTCTGCCTGGGAAACTACATGCAGGATCCTTTCAACCCCTTTCTCTTGGTTAGTTTCCCTACCTTTTGTGTTCTCTATTACTCCATGATCATAAAACTACCCTATTATTTGTTCAGTACAATTGTCTCTGGCCTCCAACAGGCCATTTAGATACTGCTGAGGGCCTAAAATGAAGTTATTTCAAAGTGGAAAATGAAAGAAAACCCAGCATTTCAGAGCTGCTACCGGGAAGATGTTCCTTGTTGTTTCAAGAGGAGAGCAAGGCTGACTTTACAAGCCACCTGTCAGCAATGCAGCATACAGAGGCTGACATGTGTTAAGGGTTACCCTTTGACTCATGTGTAGTTTCATTCCAGTCACTTCACATGAAGCAAAAGGAGAAATTATAGCCATACCAATGATTTATACAGAGAGGGCTCAGAAGCCTGGTGATCCAGATTTCCATAACAAAGTCAATAGCGGGAATGGACTCTGGCTCACTTTTTCTTTTCTTTCATTGCTGCATTTCAGAGTTTAGCAGAGTTAGGGGGCTCTTACTATTCCCATATCTCTTCTAACTTATATCTCTCTTTAAACCCTCTTAGGAAAAGAGTATTATATTAAGAATAAGAAATCTTAAATGCAAGCAAAAAAAAGCCTAGCCCTGGAAAGGAACTATGTCTCATGAGATAATATATTTTTTCTTTTTTAAATATTTTTAAATTTTGTAGCAGAAATAATAACTTTCAAATTTGGTTAATTAAGAAAAAAAGAAGAAGAAAGGGAGCTCTGGTGGCCTACTGGCAAGACACTGCACTGCAATCCCAGAGGTACGTGGTTCAAATCCACCAGATGTTCTGCTGGAGAAGGAGGAGGCAATCTCCTCCTGTACCAGTCAGATCTGAT